GGCAGAACAGACTCTCCACAGCCTGGCATAGACAAGAGGCCACAACAAAGCAGATCCACCCCCTGCGATCGTTCTTGACAAGATCCCGTCAAAGCGGTGCCACAAGCCTGGCAGTGTGCGGGCGGCCCAGACAAGGGTCAGCACCACTCCAAAGTGAGTCCTGCCCCAGGGAGAGGGGAAGATAACCACACACCACTCTGACTGACCCCAGCAGTGGGCTGGGTGCAGGCAGTGGGTCTGACTGCAGGCCCCACCCACCAACAAGAGCTTCTCCGGGGACGACACAGGGACAGTGCCTGCAGTTTGGTGCTACTGCATCTCTGGCAAATGCCTGGTCTGACTCAACTCAAGCCCAAGGCAGCTCCAGAGCAGCCCACTAACACCACAGGCACCAGACTCTGCCCACAACAGGCAGAGAGCCATCACAGACAACAGGACTGAAAGCAAACATGTCCTAGTCACAACGGTAGGACACCCCTTGAGCAACACACATAGGAGACACCCCCTGAAGCACCAGGTTCTGGGGAACAGACATTGCACTGCAGGACCTCTTCTTCATAAAGCCACTACTTTCAAGTGCAGGAGATGTAGCTGACTTTCCTAACACAGAAAAACAGACAATGCAAGAGACAGAATGAGCAGACAGAGGAATATGTCCCAAATCAAAGAACAGGACAAAATCAGAGCAGGAGACCTAAACAAAATGGAGGTAAGTAATATGTCTGATAGCGAATTTAAAGATACTCTCATAAAGTATAACGCTCATAAAGATACTCGCTAGAATTGAGGAAGGACTGCAGGACCTCCATGAGACCCTCCACCAAGAGATAGAAGACATAAAAAAGAACCAATTAGAGCTATTGGACTCACTAAATGGAAATAAAAATAGACCATCTGGAATAAATACCAAGCAAGAGGAAGTAGAAGAAAGGATCAGCCACCTGGAGGACAGAGTCATGGAAAGCAATCAAGCTGAGCAGATGAGAGGGGGAAAAAATACGCAAAATGAAAATAGGCCCAGGGAACTCAGCAACACTGTCAGGCATAACAGTCGCATGATAGGGATCCCAGAAGGAGAAGAGCGAGAAAAGGGTGCAGAAGATTTGTCTGAAGAAATAATAGCTGAAAATTTCCTGAATCTGGGGAAGGAAAGAGAAATCCAGATACAGGAGGCACAGAGAGCCCCCAACACAACCAACCCAAAGAGGTCTGCACCAAGACACAAAGTAAATAAGATGGCCAAAAGTAGTGATAAAGAGAGAATTTTAAAAGCAGCAAGAGAAAGGAAAGCAGGTACATACAAGGGAAACCCCATACGGCTATCAGTGGGCTTTTCAGCAGAAACTCTGCAGGCCAGAAGAAAGTGGCATGGTAAATTCCAACTGCTAAAAGGAAAAGATCTACAGCCAAAAATACTCTATCCAGCAAGGCTTTCATTTAGAATAGAGGGAGAGATCAAGTTTCCCAGAAAAACAAAAATTAAAAGCAAAACCAGCCACATCCCTGTCACACACGATGCCATCAGCCTGTGGGTCCCAAATTCACAGTCCAGCTGCCCTCCTGCCAGAGTCAGCATGCACGGCCTGCCACCTGCTAAATGCCAAGTCAAATGCCTTCACCTCAGATTGCCTAGGGCTCAAATTGACACACTTCCCCTCAAATTCCAGCCCCTGTGCTCAAGTTTGTGCACAAAAGTGGGCATAATTATACAGCAGAATGAAGCAACCCAAACATCTAACTATTTCTGTGGAATATAGAATGGATAAAAGGAGTGTGCTAGGCTGAGAACATCTCCAACAAGCACATCAAAGAACAATACATACAGCATGATTCTGCTTAGTAAAAAAAAACCTGAGAAGAATAAAACAAGATGAAACCAGAGAGGGAGACAAACCATAAGAGACTTCTTAGGCATAGGAAAGAAACTGAGGCTTGCTGGAGGGAGGTGGGGGGGATGGGGTAACTGGGTGGTGGGCATGAAGGAGGGCACGTGATGGAATGAGCACTGGGTGCTGTATGCAACTGATGAATCACTGAACTCTACCTCTGAAACTAATAATACACTATATTGTTAATTAATTGAACTTCAAATTTAAAAAAAGGAAACCCCCCCCAAAAAAAATCTGTACAAAGCACATCATTGTAAAATTTCAAAATACCAAGGATAAACAAATGATCTTAAGAATTTAAGGAGGAAAAGAAAAAGGTCACATGTAAAAAATTAATATAACATCACACTTCTGAACTGCAAGCCAGGAGAAAATGGACGAAAGTCTTTAAAATGGAGAGAAAACTATTTACAGACTAAAATTCTGTACCCCCTCAAATTACCTTTAACTTTATGGGTAAAATAAACACATTCTCAGGATGCTACTGGATGATACGCTCCACTCAAATAAGGAAATGAACGATGAAGATGAAAATATGAGTTCCAAGACAGGGGATCTGACACAGAGGAGAGACATTAACTCTACAGGAAACTTAGAGAACTACCAATCCACAGTAGAACAGGAGAATTTTAGCTTCTAAAAGGAATAGCTCAAAAAAAAAAAAAAAAATCAGATGGTTAGTGTATTTGGGTTTTTTTTTTCTTTTGGAAAATATTTTTCAAAGTTTTTAAATTCTTTTCCAGTATCTAAGAATTACTGATAGTTATATCTCCTGATTAAATGTTACATTATTGTTTCATGCCAATTTAATAAAAAACCTACTTTAGGAAAAAAGTACTTCTAAGTTTAGAGTACTACTATCTTTATTTCATTTTTTAAAAATATTTATTTATTTATTTATTTGAGGGAAAGTGCACTCATGTGCGCACACTCACACACATGTGAGCAGAGGTAGGGGCAGAGGGGGAGGGAGAGAAAGTCTCAAGCAAACTCCCCTCTGAGCACAGAACCCAATGTGGGGCTCAATCTCACAAACCTGAGGTCATGACCTGAGCCAAAATCAAGAATCGGCTGCAGACTGAGCACCCCAGGTGCCCCTTCATTTCTTTTTTTGAGCTCAAAAAAGTATCCAATTTTTGGAAGTCAAAGAGGTTTTAAAAAGATTTTTCTTTTTATTAAGAACTCACAATAAAATGTTATGGTTATAGGAAAACTAAAAATCATGATGTTCACTCTGAAATAAAGGAGCATATTTTGTATTCTATAAATGAAATCTCAAGGCTGAAAGACATTATTTCCTTCATTGGTTCTGAAATTTTTTTTAAAAAAATCCATTCAAAAATATTCAGTTTTCCTTATATTCTTCTTTGCCTGGGTTTTTAATATCTTGATAATGCTACCTTTTGTAAATTATTAAACTCAGGACAACAGCAGATGGCAATTGTGAAGGCAAAAGATGTATACTAGAAAGAGGCTTTTTTATTGTTATCAGAGATGGACAGGCCTAGATTCAAGTTCCAGCTGTATACACCTGAGCAAGCCCCTTCCGTGAACCTCAGTTTCTTCATCTATAATCTCTATCCTGCAGGCTCATTATGAAGATTAGAATAATAAATGTAAAGTGCCAGCCAAGGACAAGCCACAAAATATATATGTAATTAATAATGACAATTCTCCTTCTCTTTTTGATCTTCTCTGTGGTCCAAGAGGCTTAATTTTAAAGAATTTATAGACTTTGCAATCAAAATACCTGAGTTCAAATCTTGGTTCTTCCATTTATTTGCCTGGAACCCTCGGGGTAGTTACTTATTCTTCTTAATCTTGGTTTCAGCAATTCTATCATGGCATAATCATAAAGACCCTGTGATGAGGTAGTGGTGAATATATATTCTACAAGCATGGGGCTGGCACACCATAAGTTCTCAGAAGGTATCCATAAGTAATAACAATGAACCAAAAGATACAGTTTCTCTCATCTTCATGGCTAATTAAAGCAAAATAAAGTAACAGAAATGACTTGGTCAAGAATAGCATTTCAGGAAGTTATACGTGACATGTGACCTAAATTAACCATTTCTCCATAAAACAGAAAATGCCTTCCAAGATATCTTTTAATTCATCTACGTGCTACTTGACAGAATACTTATCTGTCTACTTGTCAGTTTGGTCAGTCAGGTAAAGCACCACCCCTTCCTTTGTGCACTCTCTCTCTACCTATGTATATTTCATTTCCTTCTCTCTTTCTTACTATAGTTGATTGACCAAACTGACAAGTGGCTTGTGGAATTGGTCACTGAATTGAAATGTTGGTTTTGTCAGAATAAATAATTTGGCAGCCCTCCTGATATAAGACAGAGGAGTAAAAAAAAAAAACAAAAAACATGGGGCCATGATGATACTGTCTGTAGATCCAGCATACTTCCCGGGTTTTTCTCTTTGACTTTGGCTTTTTATTTTTTAATCTTTGACAAAGTCACTTGTTTTTACACTTTGAGGCCAGATACATTATCTTATATATATTTCCATCACTGGCAACTAGGATATTATGTGGCAAATTAAAGATACTTTTTAAAATGTTGTTTAATAAATAATTTGAGTATACATAGATTCCTGAAACTCTATCACCATACTACCAGAGGAACTAGCTAGCACGCAAAAACAAAACATTGAACTATTTTCTAAACCTTTCCATTTGAATTAAATAAAATCCCAAACCCACTGGTATGCAAATTGTATTTTGTTTCTTAATGATGTAAATCTAGATGGAACGTTTAGTATATGCACGTGTTGTTTCAAGAAGTGCAAAGGTAACTCAGTCACAGTTTGCCACCCCCAAGAACTCCCACTTCAAATGAAGTCACAAGCAAAGCCTTTTCACTATACAAAACTTCCCTTTTATAAAGAGTTTGCTTAAAAATGTAAGTAATTTCTTAAAGGTCATATTTCCCCCCAAAATTGGTTTCTTCACCCTTACATTCTCATTGTACTACGTAGAATTTTTTGTTGTTTCACTTTGAATTTAAGATTCTGATGATTTTAAAGTCATATACCTTTGCTGTTTGGAAGCAGAATTTTTATATAAGCAAATAAGTAACAAGGTAACTTTCTTACCTTGTTCTTGTGCACGAACAGCACCTCCTGCCACACATAGCACAATAAAATGAAGAAGCAGTTTCCTAAAAAAAAAAAAAGGAAAATTTTAGTGGATATTTATAACCTATAAATCATATAAAATACAAAATGAACTCTAGTACAAGATTAAGAAGTGAGCTATCATTTTTTAAAAGATTTTATTTATTTATCTGAGAGAGAGAGCGAGAGAGAACAGGAGCAGGTGAAGGACAGAGGGAGAAGCAGACTCTCCACTGACCAGGGAGCCCAATGTGGGGCTCGATCCCAGGACCCTGGGATCATAACCGGAGCCGAAGGCAGATGCTTAACAGACTGAGCCACCCAGGTGCCCCAAGAAATAAGCTATCATTTTAATTAACACAGTATTTTAATACTCATAATGGCTAAGAGCAAGGGCTCTGAGTTTAAGTTCCAGCTTTGCCACTTACTATATGACTTGGGCACACTTTTTATCACCCTAGTGTTTCTTCACCTGTTAAATGTATCTCATAAACTTTTTCAAAGATTAACTGAAAAATTTCATGTAAGGCACACAAAACAATACCTGGCACATAGGAAGCACTCAATAAACATTAACTAGTATAAATGATATTATTATTATTATTATGACTACATATTATACCGAATTATCATACATACAATTTTATACAAAGTAATATAAGTTTATGCAAAGTAACAGAACTTATAGTCACTTAACCATAGTGATTATAAATTGTGGAACCAGTGATTTGTTTAAATGAATGTTTATATGTAAAGCCATTTGATTATCATCTCAAAGCCATTTGAATATCACTTGTACTAGATTCATGATATTTGGGTTCTGAAAATAGCAATGGCCTGTAGATGTCAACATTGAACATTTTGATTAGCAATAATTGTGAGCACAATACTCAATCACTGCATATCAAAATGTTCATTCATAATGATTAGCTGACTTTTGATAGATTTTATTGAGTAGTCTTCATAATTGGCTATAGCTACCTCTCAAGTAAAAACCATAGAGATAATTTCAAAAAGTAATGGTAGGCTGGCTAAAACAATAGTTGATCACATAATTCTTTTTTTTTTATTATTATTATAACCCAGGGACTTCCCAAATGACATTTCTGTAAAATAGAGTTCTGTGAGTGATTACAAAGGTCCTGGTGTGCTAATAGTAATTGGTACATTTCCTATTTATTACCAATGATAAATATGTTTTTATCTTTTCAACTAGTATAAGGAGCATGTTAATATAACAGAGATAATCTTTTACAAAGTGAGTCAATAATATGTAATTATACTTTTCTCCTTGGTATAATGGAACTATAATTTATATTAAAATGGCCTTGGGCGCCTGGGTGGCTCAGTTTGTTAAGCGACTGCCTTCGGCTCAGGTCATGATCCTGGAGTCCCGGGATCGAGTCTCGCATCGGGCTCCCTGCTCGGCGGGGAGTCTGCTTCTCCCTCTCCCGCTCCCCCCTCTTGTGCTCTTTCTCTCTCTCACTCTCTCTCTCAAATAAATAAATAAAATCTTTAAAAAAAAATAAATAAAATGGCCTTAACCATATTTTAGTAAGTGAAAAATGCACACGCTATGGTCTTAGTACAGAGCACAACTTTTATAAGATAAGTTGATAGAATACTTAAAACTGTCATCAATTCTATAATCTAATCAACTGAACAATTACAGAAATTTCAACTGGTATGGGCAAATAGCTGAACCATATATTTTAATGAAGCATATAAAAGATTCCTATGTATGGTGTTATCCATTTAAAACAATAGTTCTCAAATGTTAATTTGCTAAAAGAACCACCTGAGATGCTTGTAAAAAATGTAGATTCTAGGCTTGCTTCAGAGATTATGATTTATAAATTTGGACTGAATCCTCAGTTTGTATACATCTTTAGGTGATTCTAATACGGATTGTGCATATATCAAACTCTGAGAAACAATTTAGAACATTTACTATTTATAGTTACATTGTACTTAAAATACACAAGTATTATTAAATCACAATCTAATTTTATGACATGACCTAAGATTATTTGACCCTTGGGGGGGTGTTGTTTTTTGTTTGTTTGTTTGTTTTGTTTTTATCCTTTTCTCCTGCTCTAGATCAGTGGTTTCAAACTTTACTGTGCAGCAGAATCACCTGGAGGGCTTGTTAAAGATTCTCTGGGCTCCACCCTGAAAGTTTCTGACTCACCAGGTCTGGGGTGAGTTTCAAGAATTTGCATTTATAACAAGTTCCCAGGCAATGCTGAATCTGGGGTTTACGCTATGAGGACCACTGCTCGGGAATAGATGCTCAAGAGATGATGAAAGGCCTACCTGTTTTGAATCTGGTTTTTACCCTCACTGCACAGTGGAATCACCTGGAGAGCTTTAAAAACTACTAATACTTGCATCTTGCCCTCTCCACCCATGCCCCCAGAGATTCTGATTTTAATTTGTCTGTGGTACAGGGATTTTTAAACACTCCCCAGGTGATTCTACTGTGCAAACAAGTTGAGGACCTCTGTGTAAGATTAAAATGATATCTCTAGGTTCTCCAGGGTGGATCCCAAAGTGATCTAGAGTTTGAGTAAAAAGAGGCTCTTTTCCTTTCAACTTTATATTTTCAGGAAATAACTGGAAGGATATATAGACCAGTGAGACTAAAAAATAGCTCAGGATTACAATCACTGAAGGAGAGTGCAGCAGATTATGCTGTTTTAGCAGAAAATGGAATGTGAAAGGAATCACGTCTCATCTGCCCAAGGTAATCTGGCTCACTCAGAGTTTAGAAATAACCCAACAGGCACTCTTCTATTCAGAGGAAGCTAAATAATGAAGAGTACAACAACCAGCAGTATTCATTTAGCAATTCAGCCAATTCATAGACTTCCCCAATGACCTCAGGGGACAAAAATGAAAAATAAAGTTCTTTCTAGACATGTTAACAAGTCCATTCCTGGTGTAAGGCAGGAAAACCTGAACACATCAAACATCATCCCTTAGCCAGGTGATCTTAGAGGATTATGACAAATCAATTGAGCCATACCTTATGTAAGTGTACCTACGTATTAAAACCGATGACAGAGAAGTAGAGATTGATGACTGAGATTTTTTCTCTTTTTCTAATTATGTTCCAAACTAACAGCCACCTAAGGAAGAACATATGGATATACATATCCATAGCAATATGGATTCCATTACGCCTGACCTCCCCTCCCCTGAAGCTACAGCCATATCACATTATACTGTATTCCCTGGAGAGACCTTGTAAGTATCTTAAAGGCCCTCTTCGTCTCCACCTGTCAGAATCTTAAGTATCATCAAAGCCTAATTTGAATAACATCTGCTCCATGAAGTTTCCATCATCTCTAAAGAAGGCTGGATTTTTCCCTCCTCTCTGTACTCTTAATGCTTTAATTGTAACTTTATTATATGCCATATACGTTGTACCTCTTAGGATTAATTAGTAAGTAAATACCTGAACAAGCAACAGGTCTTCACCTTTTATCTATTTCTTACATGAAATTGACAATAAACATTTTTAACCAACTGAGCCACCCAGGCATCCCTTTAAAAGAAATATTTTACTTATTTATTTGTCAGAGAGAGAGAGCACAGGCAGGGGGAGTGGCAGGCAGAGGGAGGGGGAGAAGGAGGCTCCCCACTGAGCAGGGAGCCCCATGTGGGACTCAATCCCAGGACCCTTGGATCATGACCTGAACGGAAGGCAGAAGCTTAACCGACTATTTAATAAACACTTTCAAAATGGAAAGGAGTAATAGTAACATCTCCCAATGACTGAGGAATTCAGTTTTTCCCTATGGATCTAATTCTTCTAACACTTGGGAAAAGTAAAGTAAAATAAGTAAGAGTACTTTTACTTGGCTGTCCAAAGAGAGAAAGAAGAGAAAGAAGAACGTTTAAAAATATCTGCTAAGATAGGGTAAGTGGAAAGGCTTCTTTTTTTCTTCATTGTGACTGTTTTTCCCATCTCTGAAGTGGGAACACAGAGAAGACATCAAGCTTAATTGATGTATTTAGTGAAAGAGCCAAACTCCATCATTGTATGAAATGGATGTCTAACGAATCCAAGCTTTCTGGAAAATGTCTAGTTGGGCTGGGCTTGTTTATTTCTTTGGTTTTGCCCCCCTCCCATGATATCATATTTACTATACATTCACTTAAGAAAAAATGTCACATTTCCACATTAGCAGATGATAGAGTTCTCAAGGGCATCAGCTGTGCTTTATGCTTTATGTACCATGTATACATTTAGTGCTAAGACATGCCAGAGTCGTTGAATAAGTTAAAATTAAAACTGCATTAGGTTGGAGAGAAAACAGCATGGTAAATAAGAAAGTAAAACTAGACTGGGAGTCAAAAGACTAAAACTGGTTCTATTTCTAACTTACTGTGTGACCTTGGGTGGTTCATTTCAATATTCTGAGTCTTGGTTGACTTATCTCTCATGGGATGAGATAATATAAATTTTATATTTTGCATTCTAAATATAAAATCCTAAAATCTGTGTGTATGGTAGGATCCTTTTAGTATACTGGCATTAAAGGACAAAGATCAAATTATTTAGCAAGATGTTCCATAAAGTACTATATATAATAGACATGATGTTTAACCACAAATCTGGAAAGGTCTTCCTGAAGGTCTGGCCAATATTCTTTTAATTATATAACCTAAAATAGTCTCCTAAGTTTGCTCATTTGTCCACATATTTACTTTCACAAAAAGCCTAGTTGGTATATTAAATATGACTATTTTTCAAATATTTGGAGCATGTCTGCTTTTGGTCACTTTTCTGTATGTCTGGAGTGTATGTCACTAATAGAAACTACCAGAAGTACCTGTACTCAAACATTTCACAAAAACAGACCAGATCTAAAAGAAGTAAAAAATATGGTAACAGTCAATAAAAGTTCAGAAAACATAACCCACGATATTAATATCTGAGGATCTCTAGCAAAATATGAAATATTTCTGTGTCTGGTCTGCTAGCCACATTTTCAGTATAGCAGAAGCCACAATCAAAACATAACCAGACATGTGAGCGATGAAGCCTGGAGGGGATGAGACAGGAAATAGGTATCCAAAGACCATACTCCGAATATTTAAGGAACTAATATCCATCCCAGGCATCTTCCCTAAATAATTCTTAGGGCTATTCAACTTTCTCTTTATCTGAAGGGTTTAAGTTACTTTAGGAGAATCCCAGGCATCTTTTCGTTCAGACTCTCATGTACTGTGTCTGCAGGCTACCGAAGCTCATTCCGACATAGATTCCAGTTATAATTATAAGAAGGACTTGTGAAATCTTGTGAATACGGAACCTTTTTTTTAATGAGTTGGTGATTTTAATCTAAACCAATTTCTAAACCAACTGAAAACCATACGTGTGATATATATCGATAATTTCAGCAATTACCATTACACTACATTTACAAGCCAAAAACTCCTTTAAGTTATGACAACTTTACAAATTTTGCTCTTTACTAGCTGCAAAGATCCAGAAATAGTAACATTTCTGTCCTTTGTTGCCCAAATAACTGAAGATCAGTTCTCATCCCAGCAGTGGGGATAAAGTTGGATGATTCAGGGAGTGAAGTGTTGTCACTAACTTATATACAATGAATTTCTGAGACTATCAATTCAGCTTAGTAGGTACTTGTATAACTAATGCAGTGGTGAAACATACTAGAATTTTTGGTTAAACTTCAAGCAAACAGGCAATTCATGAAGTACAAGGGAGATAAATGCTTAAGGACTTCAAGTGATCAAAATGCCTAGAGTCCAGTCAGTAGCAGGGAAGAAAAATACCTCAGCTAGTCCATCCTCGTAATACCCCAGAGATTGTTAACATGATTACTGCCTCACCTGGCAAAGTTCCTGGCACACACTAGTGTTAACTAAAGTTTTTTAAGTGAATGAGTCAATCTTCAGTTAGCAAGACTATCAGGTGGTCTTGAGTTTCAATAAACATACAACTTCTCCAGCATCTTCTACATGCACACTGATCCCAAGATCAAGAAGTCAGGCCATCCTAACCTCCATTTATTTAGCTAAGAAAGTAACCTGGTTTAAAGACCTTTCAGAATCTGGTCTCTGGTCTCCAGATGCAGCTCCAGTCACTTGTCCTCCAGAAAGTGTGCTCTACAACCAACTTCACTTCTTTCCGGCCCTCAAATGAACCAGTGCTATCTCATCTCTCAGCCTTTTACTGTTCTGTCTGGAAAGTTCCATGCCTTTTCCTGTTGGGTCTCAGTGAGAATTTCATTTCCTTTGGTCAGCCTTTCTTTCCAGGATTTCCCTTCTGTATCTACCCCACCTACCCAGGACTTCTAGGTGTCCTCCTGTCTGTACCTTTACCTCATTTTGGTATACCTGGTTGTTCATTTTCTGTTTCCGATACTAACCTGGGCACATTGGGAGGGCAGCGGTTGTGTTTCTGTCTTGTTCCACCATTGTATCCCTTCTGCTTAGAGCGATGCTGGGCACGTAGTTGGGGCTCAGAAAACATTTGTTGAATAAATGAGTGAATGATTGAGTGAATGAATGCCAGAATAATGTTAGCCTTTTATGCGAATGAAAACAAAATGGTCTTTACCTCACTTCTCATTCAGAGTTACAAATTCTAAAATAACTCATAGTTGCAAAGCATGGCAAGGAAACTAGCACAGCTATTTGAATTTCCACAATAAAATTTATTTTTTTTCTCCTGCCACTTCAGATCACCAAGCAGAATGTCTAAGCAACACACTTTCCATAAGTATAATCCCTCTCCTTGAGACATCAGTTTATTTTAAACATCTACTTGAAAGCAAAGATAACTAAGCAACTTTAAAGAAGTTTCATGCCAACTAGGAAATAGCTGTTTATATCCAAAACTGCCCCCCACTCCCCCACCCCCACACACACCTTGGTTATAGAAACCCTTTAATTACAATAATAGCCTGCCTGGGGAAATTTCTGATACTGTTAAATCATTGTATCTAACATTGACTTTTGGTTTTAATTTCCTTTAATATTACTTCCACAAATTCACATTAGGTAACTCACTCAAAAGCAGCCCTATGAAATAAAATGTCTTTAAGGATCCAGTTTTAAAACTGTAAATGTTTTTGGGTGAGTAATCAGAATTGTGATTTTAAAAAACTGCTCCTGTTCTTACAAAAACATCACCACAAAAGGATGGTGGAAAATTAAAACCTCAAGGATTTCATTAGACACTCTAAGGTTTAATTCAGTGGACTGACATTATCATCAGCTAATCAGCTGCTTCTGCTAAGTCCCCTCCCTATAGGGTTGGTAGCAGTGTTTTTTGTTTTGTTTTGTTTTGTTTTGTTTAAGATTTTATTTATTTATTTGGCAGAGAGAGAGCACAAGAGGGGAGGGAGCACAGGAAAAGTCTGAGAGAGAAGCAGGGAGCCCAATTTGGGGCTGGATCCCAAGACCCTGAGATCATGACCTGAGCCAAAGGCAAAGGCTTAACCGACTAAGCCACCCAGGCCTCCCAGTTTTTCTTTTTTAAAATTGAAGAGCGCTTAATTCTTTAAGGAAATTGGATTTTTTTGAGAAACAATTTTCTCAGATCAATCAGTAACTACTCTTTCCCCTACTTGGCATGTGTATGGTTGGAGCTATAAGGGGGTGCAATCTGATGTAACCTTGAATTCCCCTTATTCTCTGCAGCCCACCCCCACTGACAACTGTAGTGGAACAAACTGGAAGTCAAAGGAGGCTGCAAGGTCCCTGACGGAGAGACCTCCTAGGCCAGTGCCTTCACCCAGGATCTGCTCTCAACCCCAATTCTCTCAGCCAGGGTTCTTCACCCATTCCACGTAGTTTCATTTTTCCTCAGTCCCTTGGTGTAATCCATTCTGTTTGGTTTCTCTGCCTCCCCACCCCCAATCATCTGGACCCAATTTACAAACCCCAAACTGCCCCAAAATTTATGCGGGGCCTTTTCTGGGAGCGTCTGGAAGGGAAGTGTAAACCAGACAAGACAGAGGCCAGGAGCAGAAGATCTGCTTTAATCTGAGAGGTTGGTCACAACTACCAGCCCCGCGGATGGTGGGGCACCGACGCAGGCCTTGCTCAGTGGCCAAGGAAAAGCCCTCCGGTGGGAGTTGGCCGGCAAGGCAAGAAGGGCAGAGGGATGAACGCGGAGGTTGCGGGCCGGCCAGTAGGTGGACTGCCTCACCCACCCTCTCCTGGTGTCTCTGGACCCGCGGGAGCCCGCAGCTCTTGCTACCATTCCACCGACTGGGATCAGCAGGAAGATGCACGCGGTCCCGCACGATCGGCTGCGCCCGGAGCCCGGCTCTCCGACTGGGTCCACGCTGAGGGGCTTTTATTGAGAAATGTGGCGGGAAACGTGCCTGGGAAGCCGGCGCGACCCGCGTGAGTCGCCCTGGGGAAGTTAAGCGGCATTGCCTGAGCTCTTCCGCGACCCGGGCCTCCCCGGTCGCCGGCACCTGGCCCCAGGCACGGGATTACGAGCTTGCCTCCCCCAGATTCGCCCGGCTTCGGGCGCGCGAGGAGGTGCGTCCTCCTCCGCCGGGAAGCCCAGCTGCCCAGGCTCGCAGGGGTCAGAGCAGAGAGCGCGCGAGCCCCAGCCACGGTCGGCGGCACGCGGCTGGGAAGCACATGTGCACACAAACACTGCCACAAGGCGGTCTCTCTCCGCGCCCCGCCTCCCTCCGCCTGCCCTCCCTCAGCGGGCACGGTCAGTTCTACCCGCGACCCTCACCTACTCTCCCAAGGGGCAGATCGGGGCAGAGAATGACCGGAGCCGCTTTGGTCCCTCCCGCCCCAAGGGCCTGAAGCAAACTTGCAAAACCCACTGACCTCTTCCAGGGGGAGGAGGGCAGCCAGCCAAGGCATGCACCCCCCTCCAGGCTCTTTTCCCAGTAAGGGAGTGAGCAGGAGCAGGTACAGCGCCCAAAGAGACGGTGGGGTGCCAGTCAGGGCCTGCGCGAGCACTCTGCTGGAGGAGCAGCCCCGCCCCCGCGTCCAGCCCCTTCCCCAGTGACAGGCCAGTGAAGCAGGACGCAGCCTCGGCCCCAGATGGGCAGCACGTGTGTTGGCCTCCTAACGACAAGAGGCGATTACCTCTGAGTCTAGCCGCGCCCCGATGCCCGAGGTTTTGCGGGTCCCCTCTCCTCCAGTCCAGCAACCCGCCCCACGTCTGTGCCCCCCGGTCCAGGCTGCGCGCACAGATCCCAGAGGACCGCCGGCGCCCGGGCTGTCCCCAGGCTGGACGCCCGAAGAAGCACCACCGGGAAGCAGAACCTCAGCCAGGGCCCTGAGAAAGAAGGGAGGGAGGGCGCGAGGGCGGCGGGAGCTGGAGCTCCAGCGGGCGTCTGAGCTCAGCTCGGGAGTCGCGGGAATCGTGGCCGCCGGCACCGGGACGCGCGCCAGCGAGCTTTCCCTCCCCAGCCGTAGGACCTCTTTAGCATAACTTTTTGAGAGATCCGCTGGCAGGAGGCTTCCTTTCAAACACCGTATTTTACAAATTGAGGAGACAAGCGGAGGATGCCACGGCTGCTCTCTGGCTCCCAACTTCAAAAAGTGCCAAGGAGTAGGAGCACAGATCTCCAACCCGCCCAGCGGGTCCGGAGGCTGGGAAGAGGGGTGGGTCTAACCCCAGCCTCCCGGGGAAGTGAGCTACTTACGTTTTTGCCGTGTGGGAGACCTTTCCACGCCTTGTCCTGTGGGCTCCTAAATGCATTTGTATGCATTTGTCCCTGCAGCGAAGCGCTAACGGAAAACAGAAGGCAACTCCGAACTGCTAAGGGTGCAGGTACTGGCCATGAAAAAGGGAAAAAAAAAAAAAAGTCACATGAAAACGATGCTCCAAAACCGCAACAACAACAACAAAAAGGGAGGAGGGAAATAGGAAGAGGAAAGAAGTAGCACCCAAAGGGTAGATCAATCAGCTAGGCTTAGCTCCCTAGCTCGGTAACGGACGAGCCCGGGGGGAGCGCTCCCCTGGGAGGGCGGGCGAGGAGCAAGACCTCACTGGCAGGCGGCGGGGCGCCGGCAGCAGCTGGAAGTCCGCCCCGAGTGCAGCCCTCGAGTTCACTTGCGGTTCAAAGGCGACTCTGTGACTCCAGTGGAGTGCTTTGGGCCTGGGAGGAGAGAAGGGCTGGGGGAGGGAAGGAGATGAAGGGGGTGTGTGGGGGAAGTCCTTGGAAACAACCCGCGCCGGAACATTTGTCAGACAAGCACACACACCCACTTCGGAAATCTAGTCGGTGCGAGGGGGCCGGTGGCAACTCCAGGCGCTCAGCGTTGACTGCCGCCGGCTGCTTCCCCTGGAAGAAGAGGAGCCCAGCAACTCCCGCCGGTGTTAAATTTCACCGCTCACTGACTTGCAATGACATCACCAAACACAGTGCACACCTCCCCCTCCGCCCCGCAACCTACCCCCAACCCGCGGGGGCCTCCCGCGCCCGGGTCCGCAAAGCCCCTGGGCCCGCCACGCCTGGGGAGCGCCCGCGGCCGCCCGGGCAACGCCCGCACGCTCTTGCTTCCCACGCCACCCGCCTAGTCGTGCCCGAAGTTCGTAGGTGACTAGTATCCTTCCTTCGTCCCTTTTTCGGCAGCCCCCAAATGATGTTTTCCTCTTGCATGTCTCCCATCCCCAATCTTTTTCTCTGTCCTCTTCACGCACGCGTCTGAAATCCTACTCAGCGGAGCCCTTCATTCTCGACCTTCTTGCATTTTTTTTGCAGTGATTCTTGTGGCCCACCTAAGTCATATTATAAACGGACTGCGACGGTTCTCATTTCTACCTTTCCTTCCTTCACTCTTGCCTTTCAGTCTGCCCCTGTACTACTTTGCTGCTGATTTTTCTCTCCTGTAATCCACTTTTCTGCTTTCTGCCCTTCCCTAGCTTATAAACATGAATTAATGATCTGCATTTATGCATCTAGAACATGCTAACAGACCATGGTCTTTCCAATTTGAATACCTTCTCCAATTTTTGCAACAAATTTCTTTTTTGACATAAGCCTCCATGCCCGCACAGCTTTTCACAGCCTGACAAGTCCACCTTCCAAGTTTTGGGGGGTAAAAAAAATTAACCTTCTGATTTTATCTTTATTAATAAGACTGGAAATTCCAGGAGGCCAGGGATCTGTTACCTTGCTCATTGCTGCATTTCCAGCACCTAAAATACTACTTAGCATGTCTGTTTAGCCAGTAACTGTTGTATACCATTGAATATCATTACTCTAACAAGTTTTCCTGGCCTATTCTGTGTGCCATCCACAGCTAATGATCCCTCCACATGCTGAAAAGCATCCTACAGTACACACACATTATAAAAGTTAAAGCAACCATATTGATGAATAGAAATGATTGATGCAACCTTTGGAATTTTAGGAATTACTTCAAAAAAAATGGGGGATATTTTTTTTTCCTCCAGGAATATAGAACTTAATTCATCTTCCTTTCCATCACTTTTTCAACTTTTTATTTTGAAATAATTTTGAAATAGATTTACATGAAAGTTACAAAAATAGTAGAGAGAGAGTTCCTGTAAACTCTTCATTGACTTCCTCTAATACTGATATCTTACATAACAGCAATACAATGATCAAAACCAGGAAGTTAACACTGATACAATACCATTAACTAATAATCTATAGCTCTTATACAAATTGTGCCAGTTTTCCAAAATATCCTTTGTCTGGTCTAGTATTTAATTCAGGATCTTATACTGTGTTTAGTTAGTTAATTAACAGATTCAACTGTTAGATCTCCTCAGTTTCCTCCCATCTGTGGAAGTTCCTGTCTTCTTTTGTCTTTCATGACTTAGACCCTTTTGAAGAGCACAGGTTAGTCATTTGGTAGAAGGTCTGTCTCTCAATTTGGATTTGTGTGATGTGTTCTCATGATTAGGTTCAGGTTATGTATTTTCGACATAAACACTACTGAAGTGATGTTGTCTCTTTCTCAGGGTGTAATATTGGGTGTATATAATGTTGATATATCTTATTACTAGTAATGTTATCTTTGATCACTTAGTCAAGGTGCTACCTGCCAGATCTAACCACTGTAAAATCCTTCCCACCTCTTGATTTTTGTAACAAATAGCTACAGCTTTCTGGAATTCTTCTAGAAATCCAGGGCTGAGTGAAGATAGTCATTTTAAATAGCCTTAAACTACAGTTTTTCTATTTTTGGATAACTAGTCAACTAAAGAAAGACAGGTAATTTGGTTTGGTGGAAAGAATAGGTAAGAATTAAGCAGTAACTCACCTAATCTCTCTCTCCATTTTCCCATCAAATTATTAAGGATTAAAAACTTTTTTTTCTATTGAGTATGAATATTTGAATGCTATATGAAATTGAATTATTATTAAAATGTATCTCAGGTTCTTTGACTATAAGAAAAGAACAGTTGCTCATTATAGTTAATAGAGCTCTTATCATCCAGAAGATTCCAAAGTGTACACACAGCCTCAAATAGAGTGTATTTGTTTGTGGGAGCAGAGGCATTTGCCTAGTAAAAAATAAACAATGTAAGGTTTAAATGCTATAGAGTTTTAGGATGGTGGAGATTCACATAGCTCAAATTGATCAAGACAGAGACCTTGGGACTTAGCTGAAAAGTGAAGAGGATTTACATAGGTGGAGCAGAGAAAGATAATGTGCTTGGAAATGGAGAACAGGAGATTCAAAACAATGGGCAAAACGAGGATATGTTAATTATATTCAGAGGGAAAGAAATAGATTCATTAGTTTGTATTAGAAGTTTGTGCAGTGGAAGAGAGATTGAGGGCAAAGTATGGAAGTCTCTGAATGCCAGGATAAGGGTTCATTCAATCATTGAGTAAACACTTAGTGCATTACCTACTATATGCCAGGAAGTCTTCTAGGCACTGAGTTACATTGGTGAACAAAATGCATGAAAATTCCCTTCATGGAGTTTACATTCTACCATTTAAGATTTGATCTACGGGCAATAGGAAACAAATTAAAGAATTTCAAACTGATAAATGATTATGTTCCAAATTCCCATTTTAAGAAGACTGATCAGTACCAGATGCCAAGATTGAAAAGAGAGAAGGTTGCATCTAGAACTAATGATGTAATGTATGGGGATTAACATAAGAATAAAAAAAAAAAAAAAGAAAAGAGAGAAGGTTGGAGGACAAGTTAGATGTAAGTGTTGAAATATGCTAGTATTTTCAACTATGGGAGAAATGTTAGAAAACTAAATAAGGGAATCATTATTAAAAGAAATTAGGAAGGTCTGATAAGTGGTACATTGGGAAGGGAGAATGAAATTTCAAGTCTGAATGACTGAAAAATTATGCCATTGGCCAATGTCAAAGGGAAGACAACTAATTCAGTTTTAGACATATTTATCTTGATATTTTGGTAGGAAATTCTATTGGAACCATGCAAAGATCTGTTGGAGTTGAAAGCTAGAGTTCAGGAGAAACTCCAGAGCTAGAGTTTTAGATTTCTTCATTATCTGCACAAAGTGGTATTTGAGGCTTATCGATTTTCAAAGAAGTGAATGTCGAAATGGAGAGCAGAGAGCCAAGGATATAAACTTAGGTTACAGGAAGTGGGGAGAAACAATGCAGAATTAAAAGAGAGAGAACCAAAAGTATGCAGCATTATTAAATAATAGTATAGGAGTTCAAAAAATAATAATATAGTAAATACTTCATAATATTTACTATGCATAAATATTGTTTTAAGTATTTTTTATGTATTAACTCATTTTATCCTCTTAATGAATCCTATTAAGTAGGTACTGTTTATCATCCTCATTATACAGAGGAGGAAATTAAGGCAGGAAAAGATTACAGTGGAACCTTGAACAACCCAGGGGATTAGAGTGAGTTACCAAGGAAGGAAGGAAGGGAGGAACGGAGGGAGGGAGGGAGGGATAGAAAATGGAAGGAACGGTGGAATTATTGAGAACATCAATTTTATCCAGGGTCAGTCTACATGGGTTTAAATCTTTTTTTTTTTTTTAAAGATTTTATTTATTTATTTGAGAGAGAGAGAATGAGAGAGAGCAAGCACATGAGAGGGGGGAGGGTCAGAGGGAGAAGCAGACTCCCTGCCGAGCAGGGAGCCCGATGCGGGACTCGATCTCGGGACTCCAGGATCATGACCTGAGCCGAAGGCAGTCGCTTAACCAACTGAGCCACCCAGGCGCCCCTACATGGGTTTAAATCTTGATTACCAGTTTTGTGATCTCAGGCAATTTAACTACAACTGACCTTTGAATAACATGGGTTTGAACTGTGTGGGTCCTCTTATACATGGATTTTGTTCAATACAATACGGTACTGTAAATGTATTTTGTCTTCCTAGGATTTTCTTAACATTTTCTTTTCTCTAGCTTACTTTATCGTAAGAATATGGCACATGAGTTGCTTTTTTACAATTATGGATTCCTGAGTCTTATGCCTAGAGATTCTGATTGAGCATGTCTGAGGTGGGACTCAGGAATCTGCATTTTTAACAAGTAATTGTTAAAAGTACTACAAGTAATTGTGATACAGATAGACTAGTGATATGTTAACTTGTCAACCCATTCTTGACTTTGTTATTAAACACAATGCTGACTGCCTGTGAAATGCCTTAATGAGTAAGTATTCTTGTTCATATGTACCTGAGCAGAATCATTGTGGCTTAATCAAAATTCCATGCTTAAATATTTATGGAATGAATAATTAAGAGTGTCATGCCTACTGTATATCAGGCAATGTCCTAAGACCTGGGGTTATGAAGATATGTGGCATAATTATTCCTCTTAAGGAGTTTATTACCTG